GTCTCCACCCAGGTGTCTCGGATTGAAATAGCTTGAAAACTGCTTTGACTTTCCAGCTGGCTGGCCCACCCTCCGAGAGCTCTTAAACTTTTCCTCTCCCCGCAACCCCAAGAGTCCCAGGTATCCTTCCCCTTCCCCACCCTGTCCTGCTCTCTCAGGCCTGGTCATCCCCTTGGTTACTCCACCTGTCGGCGCCTTCTGCACCCAGAGCTTGGACGGGAAGTGGAAAATTCCTAGCTCCCTCGTGCTCCCTTCCTGGCTGCAGGTTCTCATCCAAGGGTCACCTTGAATTGAGTGCTAATTCCCCCCACAGGGAGGCAAGTTGGAACTGACAAGCAGGAGAGAGGGCTTGACAAGGGAGCACAAGGGTGCAGATGCAGCATGTTGGGGCCACTACTCTGAGAGGGGTGAAGCAGGGGGGGTGGAGGTCAGAACTGGTGATCCGACAGCACAGCAGGTAATGGGTGGAGGGCTGGCCCCGGGGCTGAGGCAGTTGAGGCATAAACTGCACAGGGCTGGGTCGTGACCCATGGGGTAGATGAGTGGCGGGAGCCTAGGGCCTGAGTGGTGGGGAGAGGGAGCCTTGGAGGACAGGGCAGGGTACAAAGGCCTGTGCAGGCCCTGGGCCACCAAGAGACATGCTTGAAGGAGAGCCAGGTTCTGGGACCTGGAGCCTGGCCCTGGGGACGGTTGAGCCAGGCCTGAGTCGACCTCTGGTGGCCACTTAAAAAACTGCAGCCAGGCCTGCTCTCCCCTCTCTGTCATCTGCTCCCACGGGTCTTGGAAGCCCCTGCTCCTATTCCCAGTGTCCCACCTCCAGCCTCACCTTCCCACCTCTCCTCAAGCCTTCACTCCCTCCAAGACCCTGAACCCCAGAGCCAGGTCCCAGGTTCATAGGCTATACTTGTTTTTCAGGGCTCTGGGCTCTGTTTCCATTGCCATGGTAACCTTTCCCATTCCTCCTCGCTCTCACCATGCGAGGTGGGGAATCCTCTGGCAAGGCCCCAGGGGTTACCCATGATGTGGGCTTTGTGTTTTGGGGGGTGCTGACCACCCAAGGAAGACCACAAGCACATCACCCCGTCACCTCCACTCCCTCTCTGAGCTCCTAGCTGAGAGGAACTGAGGCCTTGAGGGAGGCCTGTGTTAGTCCAGAGGAGGCAGGATGGGGTCAGAGGTGTGGAGAGGCCTCTCAGGGCCAGGCTCTCCCTCACCCTTCACACCCCTCCCCACCCAGGCCTCTGGCCCCACAGCCCCTCCCCTGACCCAACCCACCAGCTGACTTCCCTCAGCTGGCCCCCTCCTCTCCGCTCTGGGATTGGTGCCAGGGTGAGAAGGGGACACTGGCACTGACCGTGTCTGGGAATTCCCGCCCACCGTGGAGCCGGCGGGAGGGGGTCCCTGTGTCCCTGAGGAACCAATAGCAGCCAGGCTTTGCCCTGGGGGGCGGTGTATATCTTTCAGGCCAGCACCCCCTAGGCACTGTCTCCTCTCTGCCTGCCTGGCACCAGCCAGACCCCGCTCTGCCCGGGGGGCTCTGAGCCCCCCAGGCAGTCCTTCTGATACAGCCCTCTCCCTTTGGGGGGGCCTTAAGACCCTTTCCCCTTGGAGATGGCCCAGCCAGGGGTCTCTGTCAAGTCCCTGGTGTCATCATATGAGACCCGAGTAGTGGGGATGGCTCCAGGCCCTCCCCGGAAAAGGGGCTGTGTCTCCTCTCCTTGCTCCCCTAGGGGAGCATCCCCCATCCGAGGGGCATCTGGACCCCTACCCCACCGGGGTCTTGGGGGGCCTGGGCAGCGGCCCTCACCCCGCCGGGGGATGGACAAAACCCTTCTCTCCCTCATTCTCTACTGTCACAGGTACAGGCAGGGTGTGGGCGGGAGGCTGCCGTGGATGGGGCTTGTGGAGGAGGCCAGAGCCTGCTCTGAGGAGTACCTGGAAGGAGCCGGCCGGGCTGTCCAGACACTGGCTTGGCACCTGCTCCTCTTCCTCACCTCTCGTCTCCCTGTGTCTCTCCAGTGGCTCCGGAAGCCTGGTTGGCATTGACAACAAGATCGAACAAGCCATGGTAAGAGAAGCCATCCTGGGTCCCAGGAGGTCCCAGCTCATTTGCTGGTGCCCAGACCCCTGTCTCCTATAGCCGGCCCGCTGCTTCACCCCTGCTGTCTTCATTATTGGGGAATACTGAGCCCCTCCCATCTCCTCGACCCTGCTCCCAGCTGGGTTCCTTTGGGTGCTCCACCGCCTCCTCTCTCCACCTGAATCCTTGACTTCCCTTGGTCCCTAGCCTGGCTCCTGGCCCCCATCTCTGTCTTTGAGCCCTGACCTTGCTTCTCTCCGGGATCCTTGCTCCCACCCCCCGCCCTTTCCCTGCTTTGCTTCCCCAATGGTCCCTCATCATCTGGGAGCAGGGGGATCTCTCACACCCAGCCCCTCCAGGCCCTGGACAGGGGATAAGGTTGGGGTGGCCTGGGACCCCTGACGCTTTGCCTGTCCCCGGGCCGCCAGGACTTGGTGAAGTCCCACCTCATGTTTGCGGTCCGAGAGGAGGTGGAGGTGCTGAAGGAGCAGATCCGGGACCTGGCCGAGCGGAATGCCGCACTGGAGCAGGAGAATGGACTGCTGCGTGCCCTGGCCAGCCCCGAGCAGCTGGCCCAGCTGCCCTCCTCGGGACTCCCACGGCTTGGGCCCCCGGCACCCAATGGGCCCTCCGTCTGAGCCTCCCTTCCCTCACAATGTGCCTTTGGGGGCTGCCACAGCTGCCAGGCCTTGTGCCAGCCGCTGCCCCCTTCCTATGCAGCTTTAATGCTCCCCGATTCCCAGGATGGGAGTTGAAGGCTCAGAATTGGCCTGGCCCCCTACCCTTCCTCTATCTCCCCATAGTGCCCAGGGACTGGGCTGGGGCATCCCCTGGCCTTGATGGAGGGCCTCGGGACAGGGTGTTGGATGGAGCCCCCTCCTTCCTCCTTGGGTGTCAGTGTTCTGGGACCCCCAGCAGCAGATGGCTTGGGCGAGTTGGAGGCTCCCTGGCAGACACCCCAGCCCCACTCTGTTCCCTCGAAGTGCCCCCTCTCCTACTCCAGGCGAGGGAGTATGGACAGTATCTGGAAGTTCTGGGATTCAGGTTGTTATTAAAATAATTATAATTAAAAAATCCGAAGAAACTTGAATCTGGAGGTTGGCATCTCATTGCTTGTGTCTAGACAAGGGTGGGCCTGTACTGGCCATTTCCACTTGTGGGAGAAAGACGGAGGCTGTGGGCTCCCCGGGAGATCTTGTTCAGACTGGAGACATCTAATGTGGCCCAGATGGAGTGGTTGAAAGAGATGCAGGAGAAGAGAGCCAGTGGCCTGGGTCCTGGGAAGGGGCAGGCGAGGCAAGGCAGAGGGAGTGGAGGGAGGGGGGCGTCGGCCCACGTGCTGGCGGGGGGGACAGGGAAACAATAAGGCCTTTGGTGATTGTGCAGGATCCACCCCCACCTTCCCAGCGTGTCCCCTCTGCGGGCTGGATCCGGGTGGCTGCTTGGGGGCGGGGCAGGGGGCCCTGAATGGGTCCCTTGTCTCAGTGCTGGGTGTGGGCCAGGCTCCCCAGGCACACGGTGCCCTCGCCAGGCCTGGCCGGCCTCCATGGCTTCCACCCCCAGCTGGCTGAAGACGGGGCCCTGTGGGTGAGCAGGCCCCTCCCTCACAGCCTCGGCTGGGCTCCCGTCGCAGGCGGAAGAGGCAGGTAGGGAGAAGGACCCCATCTAGCGGGGAAGGGGAAAGCAGCAGCCTCCGCCTCAGGAAGACCCTGGCCCCAGACTAAAGGGGACCTGTGGAGAGCCAGACCCTGCAGACTGACCCGGGTTGGACTCCCCACCCTGTCGCTCCCTAGATTTATGACTTTGGGCAGGTTCTTTGGTTTTTCTGAATCTCAGCTTCCTCGTGGGCAAAATGGCACTGCCATAATACCTACCTGAAGGGCAGCTGTGAGGAATATGTGACATCATACATGAGAAATGCCCAGTGAGTACCAGGCGCTCGATAAATGCTAGTTTCCCTTCCCTGGATCTGGGGGAAGGACACCCAAGTGTGCAGGGATTGGCTCTGGGGGTCCTGCAAGGGCTTCGGGGGTTGGGGTTGGGGCCAGGCAGGCTCTCACAATGGCCTAGAACTCTCCCTCCCTCTAGGTTCTCATCCACTTTGACTCCTCTCCCTGTCCCAGGGAGGGGAGGAAAGCCCTAGGGTGAGTGGTCAGGGGGGGCTTTCCCCCTGGATTCTCTATTTCTTTCTTCACTGCTGTGCTTGAAGCTCCCGAGAGACCCCTTAGGTGGCGGCCACTGGCCTGCAGCCTGTCCCCCCGCTCCACCCCTTACCGTATCAAATGCTGGTTCTGCCCCCTATTTTGGGGCTTGAGTATCCAGAGAAATGACTGTGGTCATGAGGTTCTTCCGATGGATTTGGCGAAAGATTACTTGCTGGGTAAGCGTCAGAGACTGCCCCTTCCTCATGACACACTGGGTGGGAGGTGCTTGTCAATGACCTCTAGGTCATGGAAATCCCCCCTCACCTGGTGTCCCTCCCCTTCTGGCCTCCTGTGGCCAAACAGGACAGGGAGGGAGGAGGTGAGGGATAGGACAGCTGGGGAGGAGGCCAGGACACTCACTGTCCCATCCCCTCTGTGCCTTCCCATCTACTGACTGTTGTCTCCACTCCGCCCCTCTCATCTGTCTCTCCTCTCCCCGTCTTGGTTCTTAGGTTTTCTTCTGGAAACACAAAGCTAAGACAACCATCTTGGAACACCCTGACTCCAAGAAAAATGTGTTGAAGGTGGAGAAGACTTCCAAGGTGGTTGAGACTTTCAAGTTGGTTGAACCCTCCAAAGAGGCGGAGGTCTTCAAGACACATGAGTGCCCCAAGGTGGCCGATCCCTGCATGTTGGCTAAGGTGACAGATGGGGCTGAGGTGAAGGGGGGCCGTGGGGGCCGATCCCTGCTGCAGCTGCCCCAGACGGCCGTCAAGTCTGTCTCCACGCTCATGGTCTCGGCTCTGCAGTCCGGCTGGCAAATGTGCAGCTGGAAGGTCAGCACCATGTCCCCCTTGTCCTCACAGCCTCCCACTCTCCCCCATCCCGCAGGACCCATTCCTCCCTCCATTCGCGTGTTCAGTATTTATTTCCTGTGCCTCCACTAAGGGCCAGGCCCTGAGGCAGGCACCGAGGATACACAGTGAACAAGATTTACCCAGACTGGGGGGTCTACAGACAAAATCATAGGCATTGTTGGCTCAGTATCACAGGGCCGTGACACGGGAGGTACAGGAGGGAGCCCCAGGGAGAGGCACTTCATCCAGACACAGGCAGTCAAGGAAGGCCTTCCTAACAGAAGAGAGGGTCAAGCTGAGACCTGAAGGATTTAGCCTGGCTTGGGTGGGGGGTGGGGTGGGGGGAGAGGGCGGTAGGGGGAGGTGGAGGGAGTGGGAAGAGGATGCCATGAAGACAGAATAACAGGTGTGTGGAGGGCTGGCCCAAGTTGTATGGGTGGGAGTAGAGCCATACTGGAGCCGGGCGCCAGCTCGTACGAGGCAGGCTGGGTGGCCAGTTGTGGAGTTTGGATTTGACGCCAAGAGCAGTGGGAGCCCTCGCAGACATTTGAGTGGAGGAGTGACACAATCAGATTTTGATGTCGAAAGCTCACCTGCACTCATACAATGCCGGCAGGCGGTGGGGGGTGGGGGTGAGTGGGGTGGCATGTAAGATGGTACAGCCACTCAAAAACAGTTTGCTAGTTTCTTGTACAACTAAACGTGCCATTATTCTATGACTCAGTAATAGTACTCTTGGGCATTTATCTCAGATAAGTGGAATTTTATGTTTACACAAAAATCTGTACGTCAATGTTCATAGCAGCTTTATTCATAATAACCAAAACCAACCCTGGGTGATTGGTTAAACTGTGGTATATCCGTACCATGGAATACTTCTTAGCTGTAAAAAGGAACAAACTATTGATACAGGCAACAACTTGGATGGGTCTCAAGGGAATTATGCTGAGTGACGACAACTGATCCCAAAAGGTTCTATACTGTAGGGTTCCATTTATATTATACACCATTCTTGAAATAACAAAATTATAGAAATGGAGACCCTATCAGTGGTTTAGTGATTGCCAGGGGCTACAGGGGGAAGGGGAAGGGTGAGAGGGAAGGGGGAGGACGGTTGGTTCTAAAAGGGCAACATGAAGAATCCCTGTGATGATGGAAATCTCCGGTATCTTGACTATGTAGTTGGTTACATGAACCTACACATATGATATAAAATTGGGTAGAATCCCACCCCCACACACAAGTGATTGCAAGTAAAACTGAGCAATAACATCAGTGGATTGAATTGATGTCAGTATCTTGACTGATATTTTACTAGAGTTTTACAAGACTTTACTATTGGGGGAAACTGGGTAAAGAGTATACAAGGAACCCTATTATTTCTCACAACTACATGTGAATCTACAATTATCTCAAAGTCAAAATTTTAATTAAAAAAAGGGAAATGTCTAGATCACTACCAAATTAACTTATTTTGGCCTTGACCAAAGTATTACTGCATTAATAGTAATTTCTAAAAGTTCACCTGGCTGCCCTGTGGAGGAGGCTCAGAAGGGAACAGGAGGAGAGGCAAGAAGATTCATTGGAGGGGTTGCAGTCCAGGCTGAGAGAGAAGGATGTTCTGGACTGAGGGAGAGCCATCAGGTAGAACAGTTGATAGACGGGAACGATATTTAAGAGGTATAATTGCACCAGGTGGTTGATTGGCCAACAATGAGAGGAGAGGGAGAGATGGAAGTCAGAGCAGGCTAGAGCCGTTCACCGGGAGGAGAATGAAGGAGCAGGAGCAGACTTAGGGGAGAAAGTGATGAGTCTCGGGCATTGGGACAAGACGAGTTAAGATGTCAGTAGGAGGCAGTGGGATATACAGGCCTGGAGGTCAGGAGAGAGCTCTGGGCTGGAGACAGAGGTCGGGATGTCATTCTGTCCTTCATTTGAACACATTCTCCACGAAACCCTAGTGGGGACTCAAAGGTGGGTCAGATGTGGTCCCTGTCTTCCAGGAGCTTGCATTTTAGTGTTAAAAACAGACAAGTCCACAGAACAAATAGTGTGTGAAATGTGGTGTGATGGGGCAAACATAATAGTACAGACAGCCTGGGAAGGCTTCCTGGAGGAGGCAGTGCCTGAGCTGAGGCCTGATGGAGGAGGTGAAATTAGACAAGCCTTTGCTGCTTATCTGCAGGTAGTTCCACTCGCGGTTTCTCCCTAGACCAAGCTATTTACATGTGCACATCTCTGTCTCTTTCATAGTCTTCTATGAGTTCTACCTCAATTACCTCCAAAGTGAGAACCAAGTCCCCTTTGGAGTCGCCGGAGGCTGAGATGCTGCGGGAAGTGTACCTGGTGCTGTGGGCCATTCGGAAACAACTGCGGCAGCTGGCTAGCAGGCAGGAGAAGCGGAGACGGCGGCACTACCTCCAGGCCCACACTAGCCCCCAACCTGACCCAGTTCAGGGCCTGAGACAAGATGCCCGGAGTCCCCTCTAGAGGGGAACCCCACGTTCTCAGAAAGCCCCCACCTCACTCTTGGGTAGGGTTGGAGAGGTTAGGACAGCAGCTAGGAGTTGTGGGTGAGGAGAGTTTTCATACTGTCACCTCTCAAGAGGAGCCCTGAGGCCTGGGCTGGGGTCCCACATGCTCCCCTTCATTCCGTTTATTCAATTTGTAAAAAATTATAAAAATGTTGAGAAATAAATGTCGATATTTCTGAGTAGATGTCAAGTGTGTTTGTGGTGGCCAGAGGCAATGAGGGGAACTTGGATGGGACAGGGAGGGCCACCTGAGCTGCTGGCCCAAATACATGTGGGAGTAACTTGTGGGCCTGATGGGGGGTGGGGGTCCACAGGTCCTGGCCCTGGGACCATCCGTGCTTCTAGGGACTGAAGCGCCTTTGGTAACGCTGCTAGGCCAGTGTCATAGACAGCAACCGCGCCTCTTTATTGAGGACGCGTCCTGAGCCCGCATCCTCCCTCTCAGTCCTACAAGAGGACTCTGGCCGAGGTCACAGGACTTGTCCAAGGCCCTACAGCGAACGAGCCCTCGCTGGAAACCGCCGGCCTCCAGCACCCAACCCACTGCCCTGCTTCTCTGGCGCTCTTGGGCTCGACCACGGCGAGGGTCAGAGGGTCTGACGACACACGTGGTGACAGAGGGACACGCATCATTTGGGAAGGCACTCAGGCCCTGGTAGCCACGCTCCTGCCGAGAGCGGCCGGTAACTACACCTCCCAGGGTTCCCGCGGCCACGCGGGGA